GGCCAGAGACTGGGGCAGAGAGAGAGCTGCCGACAATGTCTGTGCCACTGCCCTCTGGTACCAGTCCCCACTGCCAACAGAAACCTGAGAGGCCAGAAACGGGGTGATGAAGAGCGTTTAGTCCTTTTCAGTTGTCAGCAATAAAACCCAAGGCGTAGAGTCTGAAATACTCCACTTTACAGCTTTTCCATAAAAACGTTTTCCATGGGTTGGTATTTCAGGGTGCACTGAAACCTTCTGTCCGTCCACATCTTCCGACCGCACTGGTTGCTAACATCCGATCAAGGACGCATGTGGACACACGCCTCTGCCACAACTGGCTTTACATTCAACACAACTCACGAAGATGCACGGAGCACTGACGACAAAGTTCACGTTCAGCGTCCCCCACCTCCCATGTGGTTTTTAAAGACCAAGTCCCCTGGGTGACAAGAAAATGGCACCTTTCAGCTGCTACTCTTCATGAGTCCCAGGAAACGAAAGCCACATCCCGCTAGACACACAAATCAACTCCCCGAAATGGACCTCCTACCCGCTGATATTAGGAAAAAGCCCACCTCTGGCATAGATCACAGAAGGTCAGGATGCAACGAGAATCCTTCACAGAAAGTCACTCAGGTTCACGTCTGGCGTGCAGGGGTCACGTGTCACACAATGCATTTTTTGACAAGCAGGTCGAGCTGCTAACAAGGTTCCCTCCTCACACAGGACGCTGACTCCACAGGGCAGTCCTGTAAAATGCGAACCCCCTGGATCACAGCGGGTCAACGTTCTCAGAAAGGGAGAGGCAAATGGGCTTTCAAGCTACGCTGGCCCGTCTGCTCCCATCCTACTGCCCCTTGATGTTTTGAGCTTAAATTAAAAAACAAAAAAACACAACCACCACAACAAAACAGAGTTTAATATGATACAGTCTTTAATCCTTACATTTCAGGATAGATGTTTTTATCCCACTGTGACAAAGAAACGGGAAACTGGTATTACCTAAACTGTGGAGTCAGCTCACTCACTGACATCAATGAGTTGGTCTAATTGCAGTAAAAACCCGTAATTTAATGGGAAATTTAAAAATCTAAGAACTTAACACACAGCTTTACTTCTCCTTATCCAAGTATGCATGCACAGCTTTCCAGCTCCATGTCAATCCATATCGTATTATCCACGTTGGTGGCCTACACAACAGCAGCCTAAGTGTGACAGTGCGATGGGGCCTTCCTGGAAGCCTATGACTGGCTCTATTCTAAAGGATTTTAATGGAATTATATATAGTATGTAAAGCTTTTGTCAACTGAACACAGTCTCAGGCCATTACTACTGTTCATTCCAATTTGGACTGTAACATAATCAGTGCCCATATTCCGAGGTGAAGCACCGTTTAAGGACTTCAGATGCAGTCTGTCTGACACATTGTGAGGCATCTCTACAAAGACTCAGTGATGCCTGGAATGACAAGAACCTGTGATTAAAGCTTCTTACGTGGCCTCGGGGCACCAGTGGCAAAGGTTCATTCCTACTGACAAAATCTATGAATGAAAAGTCATAGCCACTTGTAGTCTTCATGGAAACCAGCAAACTGAGGAGCATGCTAAACAAAAGCCACAAACAAACTCACTGCCTTCGGGTCAATTCAGACTCACAGCGGCCCCTGTTGGGTTTCTGGGGCTGTCAGTCTTTACAAAAGTAGATCACCCATCGTCCTTCTGCAGAGTGGCTGGTGGGTTTGACCTACTGACCTTCTGGTTAGCAGCCAAATAAATGTCTTATCCACTATACCACCAGAGCTCCGAGCAGCACACACGAGCGCTTAAATAGAACCTTAATGGTCTAAAAACCTTCCAAATGGAATAGAGTTGACAGGCCAGGTTGAATGTACATCAGTGTGCCTCGGACTACAAGTTTATTTGCCAGGTGATTTTGCCAGTGATCTGCAGAACCACCTGCCATCAACATACAGTACAGCGGACAGGTAAGCTTCCACTCAAAGGCTTGATGCCCGCTTCTCCAAATCACTGTGTCATGTCAGCCACACACACGGAGTCGCATGAACCTGCAGTTTATTGGCAGCTCTTGTCACATCTTAATACTGCTGTTCCTCACAGGGTCACACCCATAATGACCTTGAGCTCTGAGACCATCAATTTCTACCGAGAACTGTGCGTTAACCACAGGCAGACTATTAACCTCACACGCAGGGGCTCACACAACAGCAAGTGTTTTGTTTCAATTTTTTAAATGATCTGTAGTCTTTCAGAAACACAAGGCACCACCAGGGGCAGACAGGCCAGCACAGTGACTGTCTGAAAACAACGTACTGCTCCAAGTCCTTTGTCCTCTCCATAGAGGGATGCTGCCTCCGGCTGCGTCTAGGCCACGTCTTCCAGATAATCCGCCACGTCGCTGAGCTGGGAGACAGTGAGATCCTGCGTGAGGTCGTCAAGCTTGGCGTTCAAGAGAAAGGGGAGAGTCAGTGTCAGACAGTAAGCAGTGTGAGGTGACTGACACACAGTGCTGCACTCTCTCGGTGGCCCTACCCTCCGCAGAGTGCCGCAGATGGAAACCTCACAAGGGCAGGCACTGAGGGGTGATCAGCCTCAGAGCACAAAGCTGGTCCCTCAGTCAGTCTGCAGAAGTCCGTGTTCCGGACAGAATACCCGCTCAGATATTTCAGGTGGGAATTAATAAAAGGAGCTCTGGTAGCATAGTG